CGCCTTTCGTCCGCCGGCCTTGGCCCTGGCGCTGGCGCTGCTCGCCGCGGCCTCGCGGCCGGTGCCGTGCGGGGCGCTGGTGGACATCGTGCACGCGCGGGCCAGGACGTGGCGGGTCCCGGCGGGCCACAAGAGGAGGTGGGTTTGGGACGGGCCCGGTCTAATGCCGGGGGCGGCCAAGAGGGGGCGAGGGCTGAGGGAGAGGCTGGCTGTCGTGGCGGGGGCAGTGCAAGCTCCCAGATTTCGTGTGGCCCCTTCTTCTTCTTTCTCTTCCTCCTCCTCCTCCTCCCTCCTCCTCCCCTCCTCCTCCTCCTCCTCCTCCTCCTCCTCCTCTCCTCCTCCCTCCTCCTCCTCCTCCTCCTCCCCCTCCCCCTCCTCCTCCTCCTCCTCCTCCTCCCCCTCCTCCCCCTCCTCCTCGGTCGCGCACGTGCCTCTGGCTACGATGCGCCGAGCCCCCGCTGCCTGGCCCCCCTCTTCGGCCGCGCCCGACGATCGAGGTCGAGGCCGTGGCCTCCGAGCCACTGGACTTCTACCTGGTCTCGGGCAGCCCTCGTGCTGTCCAGGACCGTTATCGGCACCCTGCGGGGCTGAGCCCCTCTTGCAGGCAGTGCACTCGCTTCGGCGCTAACGTCAGCCTCATGGGAGGCCCGAACATAACGGTCTTCTCCGTGGAGTACGGGCAGAGCAGGGGCGACGGCCAGGGGAGGCCAGCCAAGCTTACTCTCATCCTGGAGATGTACGGCGTGTACTCGTGTTTAGAGGACCTCTTCTCTCATGTTCTTTCACTGTGTGCTGTCCTTTTTGTGTGCTTTTGTGCTCCTGGCGCATTCTTCTTCTGCTCACGGAGGTGGTGGGGGGATGGCGAAGGCGGGCGCCATGGGGACGCATGGGACGAGTCCTGGGCGCCACAGCTGCTACTTCAATGCAGGCGGCCTGACCGTCCGAGTGAAGGATTTCTGTCGTGGGCGTCACACGCGTGGCTGTACTCGTATCCGTGGAACCCGTGGCGAGGCGATCCTCTGACCTTTCCTGGCCGGTGCGTGCTGTTGGTGATCAACATCGGCTTGACGCTGTTGGCTTCCGACTTGTACGGTAAGTTGGTGTCGGACTGGGACGAGTATGCGTCGGAGATGATGGGCGCTGACGACGTGGAAAGCGATTCTGAAGGGGGCAGTGGGAGTATAAGCGCAATCGTTCTAATCTCCCTCGTGGCGACTGGGCTGCAGTCGGGCCTCAAGCTTCTCTCCTTGGCCGCCCTCCGGGGAGGCCTGGCTTGTGTGTCAGTGAACCCCCGAAAGCGGATGAAGGTGCTTGGGCTGCTGCTCGCCGCTCTCGTATTCTGTGGCGGAGTTCTTTACCCGTTGGTGCATGCCGCTTCCGCGCACAGGTGTTTTTATCTGAAGACCCTCTTCGCCAACTTCCTTGTCTCCGAGCTTACGCGAGGCGTGCCCATTGCCTTAGGACTCGTCTGCCTAGAGTATGCGTGCCTGCGGACATGTGGTCGGAGCACGGCCCCAGGCCCCGAAGTGAGTATGTCCGAGCTGCCCGACCGTGGCGAATCTGACGACGTCAGCACGAACGATGCTGGCTCGTGATGTGCGACGAGTGTCAGGAGGGAACAAAAACACACAGACACAATTCATCGTCGATGTCCCAGAACATATGGGAACATATGGGAAGTGGGGGGGAAAACAGAAACCCAGAACATATGGGAACATATGGGGAATCATTGTAGTTGTGTGTATTTATGTGTGTGTGTCCTAGGGCCCTTTCAGAGTAGGGGTACGCGTTGTTTTCCGCCGTACACTCGCAATGCGAGTCTCGCATCACAGTCAACCACATCGGAATTTGTTACTAAAAGGCGCTTTCGATATTCTTGGGTTATGTATATCTTCCATGCTTCGCGTTCACGGATGTGTGCTGTACATTTTTCTCTCTGATTCATTGGTTGACGCCGCACCGCCGACCCCTTGGGGCGGCAGTAAGAGTGAAAAATGGAGTTTGCGGAACGCGCGCGATTTCTGAGGAATCTTGGGGCTTCAGCTTCTTGGGATTTCGTCGGGGGCGGTAGGTGGATCGTGGCTCGGATCTTGGGCTTCTCTGGGCTCTCCTGGCAGCACTTTGGAGGCCGATTGGGAGCCGTGTTGAGGCCTCTAGGGGCCTCTCGGGAGCCTCGTGGGAGCCTCTTGGGGGCATCCTGGCGCCTCCTCAGCTTTTTTCGGGGCCGAGTGCTCGAAATGTCCATTCGGGTTCCCCCTCTGGGGCTCCTCTTGGGGCCAGAGGCTTCTGGGGCCGTCTTGGGACCCTCTTGGGCCGTCGTGGAGCCCTCTTGGGGGCCTCTTGGGCTATTTTGGGTCGATCTTGAAGGCTTCTTGGGCCGTTGTGGGCCTCGTGAAAGCCCAGAGGCGAATGTGCTATACGTGTTCCCTCGGAAATGGGACGATGTTTGCTTTTGGAGAGCCTCTTGGGACGCCTCTTGGTGGCTTCTTGGGGCGTCTTGGGGGCCCTTGGGCCGTCTGGAGGCAATCTTGGGCGTCTTGGAGCGATGTTTCGGCGACTCGAAGCCCTCTTGGACCGTTCGGGAGGCATTTTGGGGCCCTCCTGGCCCGTTTTGGGGCCCCCTGAGGCTCCGAGGGTGCGGCCAGCACTTTTGCCCCCCCCCCCCCCCCCCCCCCTCCAAACCGGCTGGACCGGGCTCCCAGGGGTGTGCTTGGGGATGGGGAATCATCTCACACGTCGTGACACCCATGGGTCGGCGGATTGTGAAGCTTTGCAAGCACATGCGATGATGGTGATCGTGAGGATGATGGGAGCGATGATGATGATGATGATGATGATGATGATGATGATGATGATGATGATGATGATGAGGATGATGAGGATGATGATGATGCTGATGATGATTATGATGATGCTGATCATCGTGGTGGTGATGATGATGATGATGATCATCATGATCATGACAATGACGATGAGTGATGCTGATGCTGATGCTGAATATGGTGACGATGATGCTGATGATGGTGATGATGATGGTGACGCTGATACTGATGATGATGATTATGCTGATTTTGATGATGATAATGATGAGGATGATGATGATGACGATAATGATGATGATGATGATGATGATGATGATGATGATGATGATGATGATGATGATGATGATGATGATGATGATGATGATGATGATGATGATGATGATGATGATGATGATGATGATGATGATGATGATGATGATGATGATGATGATGATGATGATGATGATGATGATGATGATGATGATGATGATGATGATGATGATGATGATGATGATGGTGATGATGATGATGATGATGATGATGATGATGAAGGTGATGATGATGCTGATGCTGAGGATGGTGATGGTGATGATGATGGTGATGATGGTGATGGTGATGGTGATGATGATGGTGATGGTGATGGGATTATGATGGTGCGATGATGATGCTGATGATGATGGTGGTAATGATGATGGTGATGATGATGGCGATGGTGATGGTGGTCGTGATGGGGATGATGATGATGATGGTGGTGCTGATACTGATGATGATTATGATGATGATGGTGGTGATGGTGATGGTGATGGTGATGGTGATGGGAGCGATGATGCTGCTGACCATGATGATGATGTTGATGCTGCTGATGATGATGATGCTGATGCTGCTGCTGATGCTGCTGAGGATGATGATGGAGATGATGAAGAAGATGATGAGGATGATGATGATGCTGATGCTGATGATGGTGACGGTGGTGGTGACGGTGATGGTGATGCTGATGATGCTGATGATGATGGTGGGGATGATGGTGATGATGATGGTAATGGGGATGCGATGATGACGGTGATAGGATGACGCTGATGATGATGGTGGTGATCATTACGATGGTGCTGGTGATGGTGATGGTGATGGTGATGGTGATGGTGATTGTGATGCTGATGATACTGATGATGGTGATTGTTATGGTGATGATGCTGATGATGATGCTGATGATGATTATGATGCTGATGATGGTGATGGTGATGGTGATGGTGATGATGGTGGTGATGCAGATGATGATGGTGATGATGATGATGATGCTGATGCTGATGCTGAGGATGGTGATGGTGATGATGACGATGATGCTGATGATGATGATGATGATGATGATGACGATTATGATGCTGGCAATGGTGATGCGATGCTGATGGTCAGATGATGATGGTGATGATTATGCTGATGATGGTGATTGGTATGGTGATGATGCTGCTGCTGATGATGATGATGCTGATGCTGATGCTGATGATGGTGATGGTGATGGTGATTGTTATGATGCTGATGATTGTGATGCTGATGCTCTTGCTGATGCAGATGATGATGGTGATGATGATGATGATGCTGATGCTGATGCTGATGCTGATGATGGTGATGGTGATGGTGATGGTGATGGTGATGATGATGGCAATGGCGATGCGATGATGATGGTGAGATGCTGATGCCGATTCTGATGGTGGTGGTGGTGGTGGTGATGATGCGGATGCATCCGCCCTATCTGGCGGCCGCAGTTTTTGTGCGACGGCGACCGAGCATGCTTCGCGCCCCTGCCGGGCACGCCCTGGGCACGGGGGCAGCGAGGCCGCCCACGCTCGCGCCCGCGCGCCGGGAGGCGAGCCGCCGGCGAGGTGCCACGGCCTGCGCCGGCTGCGAGCCTCGGGGCGCGCCTGGCTCTGGCCAGCGCCGGCCGAGCCGCCGCCCCTCGCAGGGCTCGAAATTCGATTCCTCCGATTCGATTCGATTCGATTCGATTCGAGGTCGATGGGTTCTGGTGCCGATTCGGTCCGACTCGGGATGCCGATCTGGAGCCCGATGTCTCGATGGAGGCCTGCTGGCCTGCGGATGTCTGCCGATCCGACTCCTCTCCCGACTCGGCTGCCGATGTCCGTCGATCCCATTCATGCCGATATCCGACTTATCGATCGATTCGATTCTGGGCTTTCCTGCCAGCCGACCGCCCCGCGGCGCGTGTCCCAGGCCGAAGCCGCGCGCGGTGCGCCCAGGGGCGGCCGACGCGCTGCCCGTGGCTGGCGGCCTTTGCTGCGCGGGTGGCGGTCCCCCGCGAGGTGCTCCGTGGATGGGGCGGCGGCGGCGGTGGCGGAGCTCAGAGGAGGAAGAGGTACCCATACCTCTACCCTTCGCCCGTGTTCCCCTTTTCGGGCCTCCTGGGAGGCCCTCGTCGCCACCGTTGGATTCGCCTCCGAATTCTGGTCAGAATGCACCCTGGGAGAGGTCCAGGGAGTGGTGGTATCGGTACCTTTTGGTTTCCCCAGAAGCGAACCGCGGCCACGGGAGAGAAGCCAGAGATGCTCGCCAGCTTCTCCCAACCCTTCCAGCTGACGAAGGCAAAGCAACTCGTCGCCGACTGCTGCGTGGGGGTCACGCAGCGGGGGGAGAAGCCGAAGGCGTCGCAGTTGTGGCCTCGGTGGTTGGTGAAGTGTCAGTGCTCGCGCGGTCTGAGTGCGAGGGAGCCCAATCGCAAGTTCAAGGTGCCGAAGTCGGTGCGATTCGCGATTGTGATCTTCAGCCTCGCCGGGGCCCGCGCAGCTGCGGGGGAGCCTCTGGGGCGCGGCCCGCTCGTCCTGCACTGGGGCCATTCGCCTCTCGCCACGGCGAGTCTCTTCCGCGGGTGAACGCGCGCGAAGACAGCGAGAAACAGTGGGCCGCCAACCTGGCCGGGCATGTCCCTCCACAGGAGGAGTATTCAAACATAGTGTCGTTAGGGAGCGGATTTCCCCAATCAGTGCTTGCACTCAAGGTCGCAGCGGAAGTTGAAGAAGGATTTGGCGAAAGTATCCGCCCGATTTTGGTAGCAGGCTGGGTTCCCGGGTTCCCGGTTCCGGGTTCCCGGGTTCCCGATTATTGGCTCCGGGCCGATCGGTGCATGGGTTCTGGGTTCCCGTGCTCCCAGGTTCCCGGTCGATCTCCTCAGCGAAAACAATCCACTGATGTTTTTTTTGTTATTTCTGCATGTTCTTGAATACTTTGAAAAAGTGTGGGCGGCTGCGCGGGCGGCTGCGCGGGGGTCTCCTTGGGCGCCTCCTGGGGGCCTCTTGGGGGCCTCTTGGGGGCCTCCTTCGGGCGTCTTGGGGGCCTCCATTGGGCCTCTTGGAAACGATGTTTTGGGTCTCTTGGGGGTCTCCTTGGGGCCTCTTGGAACCCTCTTGGGGGCCTCGTGCGGCCTCTTGGGACCTTCTTGGGGCCTCCTGGGGCCCTCTCGGGGCGGAAAGATTGAGTTTTCGGTGCGTGGATTCCCTCTTGGGCCTTTCTTGGACCGTCTTAGGCCCCTTTTTGGTCGTCTGGGGCGCCTCTTGGACCGTGTTGGGGCCCTCTTCGGCCGTCTTGCGGCCGTCTTGGGGTCCTCTTGGGCCGTCATAGGGGGCTTCTAGGGCCGTCGTGGGGCGACCTTGGGGACCTCTTGGTCCGTTTCGGAGCGTCGGAAAGCAGAAAAGGCGAGAAGGCGGCCAAAAACATTCAAAAACGTTGGAAAGTCCTTGAGTTTTGGTTCGTGGGGCCCTCTTGGGAGGCCTTTTGGAGGCCTCCCAAGAGGGCCCCACGAAGGGTTTTCACGTTTCGGGAAGGGCTGCTGGAAGGGTGAGGGTCAAAGCGTGGAGATGGATGGGGGGGACGGGCGTGTGTGTGTGTGTGTGTGTGTGTGTGTGTGTGTGTGTGGGTGTGGGGGGGGCGGAGGAGGTGAGGTCTGACGCTTCGAGCCCGCGGCCCCCGCTGCTTGCCTGAGACGCGGGTGGGGGGACGTGGAGGGATGAAGGGAAGGAGGGAGGGGCAAGGGTTCTGATGCTCCTACTTTCGAGAATCAGGGAAGTACCGAAACTTGAGGGTTTTCACGTTTCGGGCCCTGGGAGGCGGTACTCGTTCGACACTGGTTCGGCACTTTTCTGGGTGCTCGAAACTATTTCTGGGATGTGGTCCTTGAGTACGATGGGAGCAACATACGGCAAGGAGGAATAATTGGGTCGGGGCGGGTGGGTGCTTGGGTCCACGTGATGCTCGCGGGCGGGTGCTCTTGTCTTCTGGGAATTTCTTTGTGATCGAGCGCCCCCCCGAGGTGGGCCAGGCACCGCCGCCTCACGATCTTGGAGAGCGGGCGCTTTCAGGCGGAAGCCGGGCATTTTTTCCCGAGGACCAGGGTCAATTCCGGTCCAGTCGATCGGAATAGATATCGGTTTCGGCTGGCGTCGGGTCCGATGCGATTCTGATGTTCTGACGATCCGAAGCGGCCCGCTGCTCGCATGGCGTCGCTGTGCATCCTGGCGCGGCCGGTCCGACTCGGTTCCGGTTCTTTGCCGATGCAGCCCGTTTCGATGAACGCTCCGAGCCGACCCGATCTTCCAGTTCGATGCTGACTGAGCCTGCCCTCGTCGCCCCGCCGCGTCGACGAGGGTCCGAGCAGACGCCAGTGACGGCGTTGAGGGGGGGAGGGGTCGGAGGGGCCCTGGAGGCTCGCAGGGGCCCTATAGGCACCAGGATGAAGGCCACACGTGGTGGTGTCCACCATCCACCAAACCAGCCCAACCCTACCCGAAGGCCCCAATTTGCCCTCCATTGCCAGTGGGGAGGGGGCGTCGGGGAACATCCAAAAAACACATGTGGAACCCGTTCCCCCCCGGACCCGAAATGTGGGTCTTCGGGTTAAGTTGGGGTGGTTGGGTAGGTCGTCAGGTGTCGATGGGGGTCATGTGCTGTGAACTCAACAGTGTTTCAGCCGACGACGAAGTCGAACAGTAGGTCTACCACGTTGTCTGGCGTCCCTCTAGCGCGGGAGCTTCTGTGTTGGGCGACAATTGGAAAGTGTCTGGCACAGGTCTTGCCAATGGGAGTCGAAATCGATTCTTATGTAATCGTCCTCCCACCTCATGCTTGCCCCCTCCTCGTCCCCCTCCGATCTGCGCGCGGAAAGGGTGGGGGAATCGGAGAGAAGTGGCAGGATGAGGGGAAGTATGGATGTGAAGGAGGAGGAGGAGGAGGAGGAGGAGGAGGGAGGAGGAGGAGGAGGAGGAGGAGGGGAATGCAGGATGTGAGGGGAGGAAGAGGAGAGGAGGATAGGAGGAGAGGGAGGGAGGGAGGGAGGAGGGAGGAGGGGGGGGAGGGAGGAGGGAGGAGGGAGGAGGGAGGAGGGAGGAGGGATGGGGGATGAGGGGAGGGAGGAGAGGAGGAGGAGGAGGGAGGAGGGAGGAGGGAGGAGGGAGGGGAGGGGGGGGGGAGGTGGGAGGTGGGAGGTGGGAGGAGGGAGGAGGTAGGAGGGAGGGGTGGGGGGGGAGGTGGGAGGAGGGAGGTGGGAGGAGGGAGGAGGGAGGAGGGAGGTGGGAGGAGGGAGGGGAGGAGGGAGGGAGGGAGGGGGGAGGGAGGGAGGGAAGAAGGGAGGAGGGAGAGGGAGGGAGGGAGGGAGGAGGGGAGGAGGAGGAGGAGGGCGGAGGAGGCGGAGGAGGGCGGAGGAGGAGGAGGCGGAGGAGGAGGCGGGAGGCGGAGGCGAGGCGGAGGCGGAGGAGGAGGAGGAGAGGAGGAGGAGGAGGAGGGAGGAGGAGGAGGAGGAGGAGGAGGAGGAGGAGGAGGAGGAGGAGGAGGAGGAGGAGGAGGAGGAGGAGGAGGAAGAAGAGGAAGAGGAGGAGGAGGAGGAGGAGGAGGAGGAGGAGCGTCGTTAGCCACCTTGTTGAATGGGAAAATCTATTCTGCGACGTGTATGGCGTGCAATGGCGGCAGGTACGCGACGCTTGCCCGTCTTGTAAGGCGTGGCGCGCGAACTTGGAGTACTTCACGAGCACTGCGTGCCAAGCGTGGGGCTTGCCCGAACTTCCGGCACGCGTGGCCAGCATCCCCGACACTTGCTTGAGACCGCGGACGAGGAAGGCTCGCAGTAGGCATATCTTGGAAGATTGCCCGGCCCAACACGGTATTGCAGACGCGGGTCGTCATGTCGAACGGGGAGACCTCGAACGTCGCATTGCTTTCGTGGTGGGTTGCCAGCAGGTGCAGCGCATCGTCATGGGCTTGCTACCTTTGAATGACCCAGCTTCGGAGCAGATCTTCACGGACATCTGCGACAATTCGGCCAAGCTTATTGGTGAAGGGTGGCTTCCTCCACAGGTGTGGCGTGACCCCGTGATGTGGCGTAAGCGCGAACACAACTTAGTTGCTGATTTGTTGGTCAACTTCGCAATGGACTCCTGGTGGTTTGGAGCAAACACTTTGATTTCCCTTTGCCAGGCGTTGCCCTTGATAGCTGTAACATGTTAGTCCATTCAGATGGTGGCACCCGAGCTCAGAGCTGCTCTGCCACAGGCGGTGGTCGAAGTAGGGCGTTTCATGAATGTAGCGTGGGATTTCCGGCCTCTCGTAGTGTCGGGATCATTCTTCGCCACGCCGATTTCTTCCTTCCAAGCCGAGGCCTTTGCGCTGGAGGAGTGTGCGGTTTTCTTACAGAGGCTTCTGACATGCTCACGCAGGTGGCGCAAGCGGTGCCGGCACTGCGCCGACCGCTCATGCGCAGTGAGCGGTACTAGACAGCCGACCCCGGAGGGTTCCGATGCTTCGCGAACGAACGAGCGAATGAACAGGAGGAGGAGGAGGAGGAGGAGGAGGAGGAGGAGGAGGAGGAGGAGGAGGAGGAGGAGGAGGAGGAGGAGGAGGAGGGGGAGGAGGAGGAGGAGGAGGAGGAGGAGGAGGAGGAGGAAGGGAGGAGGAGGAGGAGGAGGAGGAGAGGAGGAGGAGGAGGACGAGGGCGGGTGGGCCAGGCCTCCTCCCCCCGAAGCCGCCGAAATACGGGCTTCTCTCAGACGACGGCCGCGGGGGCCATCCAGCGCCAGGAGCCCCTGTGGGGGCCGCGCGCCCGCCGCCCGCCCCTCTGTCTCGTCGGCTTGCCGTGGCGCCGTGTCCCCGCCTCTCCGTTTTCGGCTGCTGCCCCCGCCTCCGGGCTGTTGGCCCTGGGGTCTGCCCCGGGCCCCTCCTCCCCCTCCTCCCGCTCCACACCCTCCTCCTCCTCCTCCCTCCCTCTCCTCCCTCCTCCTCCTCCTCCCTCCTCCTCTTCCTACTCCTCCTCCTCCTCCTCGTCCTCCTCCTCCTTTTCCTCCTCTTTCCCTCCAGCCGCCGTTTGCTGCTCTAGCCCCTTTCTTCGCGGCCCAGCAGGCACCCCACGCAGAGCAACTTCCGCCCCCAGGGCACCCTTTCATGATATGCCAGCGCGGCTAGCCATCCATATTCCCTTCTCTCGCGTTGTTCTGGATGCTTTTACTGGAACGGGGTGTGTATAACCCGCTCAGCACGGTCGCGACACCGAGAAGCTTGCAGATGGAGAGACAGTTCAGCGCAGGCGACGTCACCACGTTACCAGCCACTCTTGGGAGGCAGCTCGCCCTCACCAGCCCCGACGACCAGCCCCAGACCTACCTGCAACGTTCCGTCG